TTTTTTTCATCAAATTATTAATCCTTGTAAAACATATCATAAGTATGACTCGATACATATTCGTAGTTCTCTACGTATATCGAAGCACTTGTAAATAGTATATTCTCAAAAAAAAAAAATATATATATAAACCCAAATAATAATAATAATACTTTTAACGATCGTATGATTAGTGGCAACCACGGTAATACAACATTCATCGACTAATTTTTATATGAAATTATATTAAGAAGGATTTTTTTTTCTCGGAAGTATTTATCCGGAATTAATATTTGTTGAATCCCAATCAGTGAATTAAAAAGAAACAACAATATTTAATTTAACAGTTTCTATCATGATCTCCCAAGTATTATTAAATTCTAAAATTGTTCAAATTATGCAATACTTAAAGAATATTAATGTCAAGCTTAATATTTAATTTTTAGGATTATCTTAAGACAATTACCATTTTAATTTAAAACTTTCTCAACTATCGAAATATGATCTTTATTTAAGTCTACTATCAACATGTATCACAAATAGATTAGTTGGATTTCATTTTATATAAGTCTGTTTGTCAATGAAGCCCAAGTACTTCAAGATTTATATAAAATATCATGCTTGTGAAATACCTTAATAGTAGACTTGAAAGAATATCTAAGGGATATCTTTGACATACTTTTCTAGTACGAAATTTTCGCTTTTTGCCCCTTTGTTAAATACGTAATAGTTCAAAAGTCATTCCAATAGTCTTTGATTGCGAATAACTTTTGTTACAAACAAGATAGCGAGCTACGGTTTTCACCATTCGAAATAGACTGTATCATTACATGATTCCACGTATGATCAATCGATGACTGAATTATCAGTCAGTGAGTTTCATAAAAATATTGACAACTCTACGAAGATAATATAGAAGTTAAATTCTAAGAAATGCGCCAAAACTGTGTACGCATGATTCACACTCAAACGCGAAATTTCTCTCATGATCCGTTGAAGAGTTATAGGCACAATACTAGATGGTAAGAGTGTGAATCTAGCAAATTTCTTAAAATTAAGAGCCTTGCCGCTCTTTTTTTTTTTTTGACTGTTTCTGGTTCTTGGAGACGGTACAACCGATCAAGCTGAAATTTTTACCATAGATAGAGTGCCGAAAAATAAGGATGTGTGTGTTTGAAGAAAAAAATTTTGATGCAAATTTTTATTGGAAAACTCTGGATTTTCATTGGACTATCAAATGCCATATAAATGACAGCTCTTCGTTGTTAGTTAGTACTTTTATTAAATCCAACTCTTGAAATCTCTAGCAGAAAAACTTGTACTGCCCTTATTCTGTGTATGCAAAATACTTCTAATGATACTCTCTAAAGATATTGAGAATATGGATCATGAACTCCTAACATCAACAGTTTTCAATCACTTTTAGTTGGAGGAAAAAAATGCAGAATCGTCTCTATGTTCTCCGACATAGTTATTTGATCGAACTGAACCCTTTTTTTTTACAAGTATTGGGCACTGTTTAGAAAAATATTGCTTCCATTGATTTTTCGAGATACGCAAAGTATTCTGATCTTTCTATTCGAATGGAAGCAGATAAAAAGAAACTAAAAAAACAGTAAACATCCTAAACTGTGTCTAATATCTGTAAAAAATAATTCACCCCCATCAGACATATTCTTGCTAAGAAAGCAGAGCGAGTTTTAGCCTTTGCAATCCAGATATTTCCTAGAAGGAAGTATTTAAAAATTTGGAGTGTATGACAATTTTTGCTCTATTCATTGAGATCTATCTGATCTAAAAATTTCAAACATGTCTGATGAGTTATTCTTCAGAGATTTTTAGACCCGACAGATTCTTCTCATAAAAGATTAATCAACCAGATTCGAGTCCAAAATTTTGATCGACCGAGTCCAGGTCCGAAAATTCTTGGACCTGATGAACTCCACTGCCCTGTGCCATCTTCATATAGTTATCAGTATTTTTCTTATCAAACCTATTGACTGATAAACCAATCATATATAACACTATGCAATGACACACACACACAGCTTTTTTCGAATAGTGAAAGCCACAGCTGTCTATCTTACTTCTATCAAAAGTCATTCGCAAACAAAAAAAAATTTGCCAGGTGACTTTTGGACTATTTTATATTTTCATAGTTTCATTAATATAATAATTTCCATTCTAGTTTTTTGATATATTATAAAAATTAATAAACCATTAGTGTATTCGTGAATAAAATTATATAATAAAAATTTTCATATGTATTGAAATGAGTAAAAAAAAACAAAAGAAAGAAATTTATTAAAAGAAAATTTCCTCTTTTCCATTTTTTACCCATTCTTTCTATTGATTGGTTAGAACATTAAACTATTAATGCATTATATTTCTATAGAGGACTACATCCATAATCATAATACACAATGGCAACTATCGGCTGATGACGATCATTTATCCTTTGAAAAACAGGCTAAAAACCAAGATCAATGAAATATTCTATTTGATTATTCTAATTAATAAATATTTATGTTTCATTTTAGATTTGTACTATCATATGAGTTATACATTATTTGATTGTATATAGCATTATATGTGATTAAAATATTCGAGTTATTTTTCATTATATTTAATTCGAGTTACTATTATTATTATTCTTATTATTACTATTATTAAAGTTCGCATTCGTAGAATTGTTTTGTGCCATAAAATTTCATTTTTTCTTCTTTTATTATATTATTATTCAATAGAAAAAAAAAATAAAATAAAACTTATCTCAAATGTAAGTTTATTAAACATTACAGAACATATGCGATAAATGTTTGCTCTTTCACCTTCTACCTTAGTTTTCTTTTTTTTTTTTTTACCTTTTGTATGATGAAACGCTTGACCAATGGGAAAAAAATGTTTCCTTTTTTTTTACTCAAACATTTTGTGTCCTTGCACGCATCATTACATTTTTTTGCTTTAGGTGTGCCACGTGATTTTTATAAATAAAATATTTTCTTTTTTTTTTGTTTATTAACAGAATGTCGATGCAATAGAATAATAATATTTAGTAACTAATGGAAGACATTCGTTTAATATCAGCATCACCACCATTATCATCATCATCATCATCATCAATATTGAAACCAATTTGTTCATCTTTAACTGGTTCATTAACAAATAATAGACAACGAATAGATTCAGCAACTGTTATACAACAATCTGATGTATCATCATCAAGACCAGCTTTATTAGCTGATGATGCATTAGGACCACTTCTTTTTGAAGTATGTCAAATTCTTTTTTGTTTGATTTTTTTTTTGTTTTGCTCTTTTACTTTTTCTTTTTTTGGGAGACAATAAGTGATGTGTAGGAAGAAAAGTAAATCGATATTAACTCTATCGTATGTCAAGGAAAAAGAAAAGAGAAACTTAAAAGGCATATATAAATGAACAAATGTAACTGGCTTTTCTTTCTGTTATTTCCCTTCTTTTTTACATCTGTGTGTTGAAAGAATGGCGATGACAACGACGAAAAAAAAACCTATGACACTCGACATCCAGTCTCCGTGTATGCACACAGAGCATTATGCAGACTGGAACAAAAGACAAAAGGAAAAAAGCATTTACAGCCGTTACACTGCTTGTTATTCTTTTCTTTTCTTTTCTTCCTTTAATGTTGTTCGTCAAGCGCAAGGGTATCCTAAACGTATCGACATGCATGTGTTATAACGGCCGACGCGCGTCTTTAATAACGATTAGCGGACTGTTTGTAAAAACAGAATACCAGCACGTTTTTTTTAATCCTTTCTGTATTTCTATCATGAAATAGATTATCTTTTTTTTATCAGTAAAAAAAAGAAAAGAATAATAGAAAGATATATATCTAACTATGGGTATGAGTGAATTGAATAAATTGACGAATTTCGTCTTCAATTAGTGCTAAAAGCAAAAAACAAAATGAAATTAGAAAGAATTTATTTTTAAAATTAAAAAAAAAATAAGAAAGAAAAAATAATATATAATATAATTTATTTCTTTTAGGCTCTTGATGGATTTTTCTTTACAATAAATCATAATTGTGAACTTGATTTTGTAAGCGATAATGTTGGACAGTATTTAAAATTTTCTCAAGTAATTTAATAAATTTTTATAAAAATTTATATAAATAAAACAAAAAAAAATAAATAAATTTCTATTAGGAAGAACTTGCTGGACGAAATTTGTATCATTGTGTACATCCGAGTGATGTTAGCGAGTTTAGCAAAGCTTGGGCAAAAAAAGATGCCGGTTTGTTTTAATTTAAAAAAAAAACAAAGATAAAATTTTGTATTTTATAAAATTATCTTTAGGTGATTCTTTAGCTCCAACGGTTAATATTGAACAACAAAATGGTCAATCACGTGGACGTACATTCCTATGTCGAATGCGAACAAATGATGAAACTTCTCCATATGTAACAATGATTGTATCAGTTGCTCTTCATCGTGATTCATCTGGTAATGATAAAACATTTTTGATATGTATTGCTCGTCGACCACCATTAAATGAACTTAAAGATAAGCCAGCTTTACTTGGTTTTGATCAATTTTCATCACGAATTAATTTGCAATTTGATATTGAAAATTTAGATTCAAGGTAAAAAAAAAAAACGAAATAATTTCAAAATATATTATTTTCTTTGTTTTTAGCCATATGAAATGTGAAACAATCGATATGAATTTTATGGGAAAAAATTTTCGAGATTATGTTTATGTTAATGATATTCCTTTAATTAATCGACATTTTCAAGAAGGTAAAAATTTAAAAAATCAATAAGATAATTCTTTAAACAAAATCTTTTCTTTCAAAACAATACAGACATGTTTCAAAGTTATTACAAATCACACGAATTTCTAATACATAATGAGTTTCTTTGAAATATTTCAATAAACGATATAGAAGTTTTAATAATTATCTTTCTTTTTCATTTGATATGATTTCTAAGAATATACTTTCACTGTCAAGCGCTTAACAAAATGGATGTTTCTTTGAGAAAAAAATTGCTATGTGCTTGTATAAATACTAATAATAATCCTCTGATTTCCTAGAAAATTAAAGTTTAGTTTATAGAAATTAGTGCAACATTTACATTGTTTCAAAAATGTTATCTCTACTACTTTTGTTTTTTATTATTTTTCTTTTGGAAGCTATTAGCATCTAATTTCTTCATCTTTTGCCTTGCAGACGGAAAACATATAGTACATAGACCATCAATCTATGACACTGTAAAAAAAAGCTGATTAGAATAAAAGATTTTCGCTCTTTTCAAATAGGTGTTGAAAGTTTCCTTCTTTAATCAGATTACTTCAAAATTGAGTAAGTCTATAGATTAGTATTTTGATTGATTTTATATTTCGATTGAAACCTATCAAATTCAAAATGCGAAATAATTTTTAATGGGTTAGTTTGTTCTACAAAGTGTAGTATTTTCTGTTGCATGACAGATGTTAAAACTTGTGTATTTTTAAAAGCGAGTTTGTTTCTTTTTTTTACTAATGCTAATTTCCATAGAAACGAGTTCTTTAATGGAAATGTATAGATGAAATTAAGGATTGTGTTGAAACCACAATTTTGAACTTTTTTCATAAAATTTACTGATCGTTGGTCTCAGAAGGCAAGTGTTGAACATATATTCGAAAATAACGAAAAAATTCTAATTATTGCTTTAATCAGTTATTTTTTAATGATGAATATTTTGTGCCAAAAATATTTACCCTATAGGTCATATATTAAGTTGTATAATTATCATGACATCATGAGAAAAGTCATGGTTAATATTTTATTTTAATAAGAATTGTCATTTTTCTTATATATCAAACAATAAGTTTGTTTTTATTTAGTGATTGATATTATAATTACGATAATGACTGTAGCTAATATTTGAAAAAGTTTATCACTATGATTGAAAGTTATTTATAAATAGTATTACAATCATTTGAACCATTCGGGTTCACAAATTTCTATCTCGAAGGATTTTAGTCGATTGAGAAATGTGTAGGGTATCCTAGTCACCAAATACAAAAAAACCGGAAAAAAGTAGTATCTTGTATCTTCAGGACGACTATCCAATTAAAATTATCAATGTCCGGTTTAATTGGGTTCTAACAGTCATATAGTCTCGATTTGTATTAATTATATTAGATCTGTTACGATAAAAATAATCGTATATTTTTAATTTACTTCAATAAATCATTTTTTTTTTAATATTAAAAATGTCTTTGTTGTCATTTCTTTCGACTGTAATCAATTTTAATAAAAGATTTAATACGTTTGACATTCATCAATAATATAGACAGTTTACGGAACTTATCATAGAATCTCTCTAAAGTATTGTGTTCATCTTTTATTCTACTTAATAAAATCCTAAAAAAAAAAAAAATTTTTTTTCTTCTTAAATTAATAATAAATCTTTTTCTTTTTTAGTTATTGAAAAAGGTGAATCAAAAAGTGGTGTATATCGTTTTTGTTTACATGATGATATATATGCTTTTGTTAATACTTACAGTAAATTATTTTCTAATACAACAACTGGTAAATCAGAATCAATTATGTCTACTCATACAATAGTTCGGTAAGTAAATCAGATTGTATACTATTTTGTAAAACAATTCACATCGCAATAGAAAAATTAATTTTTCATCAAGTTTTTCTGAGAAATTATATACTAGTTACAGGATATTATAGTAATTGTGAGTGATATGAGTAAATATTAGGACATAGTACTAATCGATATCAGTTACTGCAATAGGGTTTTGTCATTTTTTGTGATTGTTTTATAATAAGTTCATCATGTCCTATCATTTGATATATATGTATATGGATTTTTCGAAAACTACAAAAAATTTTCCGCCTTCGGATCCCTGGAGAGGAGTACGAGAATAGAATATTATAAAGATTAGTTTTTATTTTATTTTGTTCCGTATGAATTTACATTCCGAGTAGCCAAATATAATTAGAATATGGAATTAAACATTTTGCATATCTCCATACCGCTCCCACCAGGGAGTAGAAAGCGAAAAACTTTTTTTACCATTTTCGAAAGATTCATATATATATATATGTCAAATGATAGGGCATGATGAACTCATACATTTTTCTGTTCTTAGAAATCGAAAAATTGACGATTTTTAGACATTGCTTTGTCGATTTGACTATGACGCACTTCAATTCAGACATATACTTTCTGTGCTCAACTGTGAAACATATTGAGTTCTAATATATTTAGTCATATCACTTACTGCGTTGTTCTATAAAACGATATAGAGATGGACATTCGACCACAAAGTTCTTTTCTTTTAGTCTAATTGATAATATAAATGATTTAAATGGAAATGCTTCAACACGTTTAATGAAATCAATAATAACATTAAATCGTGATTTACAAAAAAATAAACAACAATCATCAACAAATAAAATTCTTACACAATCACAATCACCAGCACGAACATCAACACCACCAATAGGTACACAATTTGCATTAACTATGTTAGGTATGCATAAAAATGCATCTGATTCTTTACAACAACATGTATCAAGTACATTGGGAACACTTCTTCAAGTACAACATTCTTTATCAGCACCAATATCTAGTCCTAATGATAAAGTTCAACAACAACAATTAAATGTTCCATCACCACCAACACCACGAATAAATGCCCAAAAATCTTCTACATTTGATAGTAATTATTATTATTATTATTATAAATTACAAATCTTTTTAAAAATAATTTTCTTTTCTTAAGATGTTTCTTCATCGAATAAAGTAGAATTTGGTAGTAAACGAACATCATTTAGTCCTTCATTAAGTTCCGGTAAATCAAAAAAAAAAAAAACAACTTCTTAAAATCTAATTTCTTGTTTCTTTTTAAGCTCATTCCAGTCATGGTAGTGTTTCATCACCTGTTAATTCTTTTGATTTACTTTTTACATCTGTATCACCATCAAATGATTTAAATCATTTTTTACCATCATGTTCACCCGTTAATAAAAAACCTTCATCACCATTACAATTATTAGATCCAACATCGTTACTTTTTGCAAATAATGATATATATACAACAGCATCAAGTCCATTAACAACACCAACAACTCAATCATCACGTAGTTCAACACGTTTAAGACAATTACTTGCAACTAAATCACCATCATCAACAACAATACCAAGTCCACATTATCATAATGATACAAAAACTCATACAAATACATTTGATGATCTTATACAAGTTGCTGAAAGTCCAACAACAACACATGTATCACCATTACCTAATGATATACCATCACCAATAAAACGTTCAAGAAGTCATAGTCAAACAAATGGAATATCAAATAATACAAATAATGTAGCTGATATACTTCTTAAACAAATTTTAGGACGACAACCACCACCAACAACAACAAAAATATCATCAACACCAAATCTATCTGATGTTCCAACATTAGAAACAAATTCAACATGGTCATCACCTTTGTCTGTACCATCAATAAAAACAGAACTTAATACTATTGATGATAATACACTCACCGGACCAACAACAAATACAACTAGTGCTACTAATAAATTACGTAGCGATATTTTTCTTCGAGTAAGAAAAAAAAAACTTTCAAGTTTTAAATCTAATTTAGATATTAGCATGCGAAACTGAAATTATGTTCAATATAAGATTGAAGGAGAAACTGATGTTACAAATTCGACTGACTATTCATTTCAAAATAGAATGTGCTTTTGCTGTTTTTTGAATAACTTTTGATAGGAATATCATAGAGACCTGCGCTTTGCATCATTCAATGTCGAAAACGATATTCTTACGCTACTTTTCTTTCGATTTACACAAGACAGGCATTCTTAGTTTGTTCCATTCGAGAGTTAGAAGACTTTTTCTGAGATCTCGGATGTCAGTCAATCTCATACGAAAAAGCAGCTAAGTAAGGATAATTCACCATACTGAATCGAATAGTGAAATGACCTGATTCTGTTATCTTAATAATGAAATAACATAGGAGTATCAGTCTTGTGTAGATAAAAAGAGAAGAATTTTTTCTAAAGATCATTTGCAAGAGAAATAGCTTCAGAAAATCGCTTTCAGAAATTCCCAGTAAGAACTCAGGTGATTAGTCAATTTCGATGACCCCGAGTCTTCTCTCTTGAATTTTCAAAATCACAATTGTGTATATACCACCTTTCACAGACTCGAACTTAATTTTTCTATTGATGATTGTATTAACTGAAATGACATTATTCTCTTTAATACACCAATGAGAATCTGAATACAACATTGGTCTACAAACTAGTTCGAGTATTAATATCAATTTCTTCTTTCAATTAGATATAGGAAGTTAACATACTAATTAATTGCCAAGAAGATAAATCTTGATCGAAAATCATAATCAAAATCTGATCGGCCTTCATACGAAGGAGTAATAAGGCTGATACAGATTTTTTAAACAGATAAGAATATTTCATTTTTGGCAAAAAATTTCATTCGAGAGAACATGAAGGAAGTCTTCTAACTGATAAATTACTTTAGAATCAAGATTATGTAGACCTTAGTGAGCTATGAATACTCTGAAAAGAGTTCTTGCTCTTAGATTATTGCTACAGAGATACTGCACTTTTATAGTATTTTTTAAAATGAATGTCGTTGTAACACAAAAAATGACTTTCGAAATTTTGAGTTGAAACATTGGATTGAGACAAGGCTTAATAAGAGTAGTTTTAGGTCTTTTGATATGTTTCTATCCTGACAAAAACAACATCATGTAAAACTCTGTTATTATAGCATACATTATAAAGAATACCGTAAAAGTGTAGTATCTCTGCACCAATAAACTAGATATATGGATTCTTTTCAGAGTATTCATAGTTCATTTAGGTCTACATAATTTCGACTCAAAAGTGATTTATCAATTGGAGAACTTCGCTTATCAGTACTGCTTCTATAACTGATTAAAATTTCATTTTAAACGATTGTAGAGTTTGCTTGATTGATGAAGTTATCTGTCAGTATTTTTAATATGAAAATTGATGAAATTCATCTAAAAGTAATTTGTAATTCCAACTATTTTCTCCAGTGAATTGTCTATTCCAGTCAGATATTTTCTAAAACTGTCATGATAACAGTCAATGAAAATGCCATTGCGCCTCAGGGTCACAATAGATTAGAGTCTCTTATCTATGACTAAGTAAAGACATTTGAAGCTTTATTTGCGAAATAAAATCACAGGTATTAACGCTTTTAAAAAAAAGTGGTTTTTCTGAGGCTCAAAGAAAAAATGTTTTTATTGTTTTTTTCTAAATCCGATGCATTCAAGTAGATCAATCTCCGATTCGTCAGAATTTATCAAGATCTGCTTGTAATAAAAAAAAACAAACATACTTTTTACCTAGTAGTAGGAATTTTGACGATTCCTGTGCATTAACGAGAAGTTCAATATTTGTTGTATTTTAATAACATTTCATACCATATCAGGGAAAATGATTTGACGCATTGGTTGGTTTTTGTTTCATTGCGTATAGTATATTATCATTCATTTATTTTAAACGAAATAAGACAAAAAAAAACAACCTTTTATCAGCTATGGGGGCAAGATAATTCCGATCTCGGCTAATATCAGATTCTCACAATTCATGTGTTCTAAAATTTTCTGTCCAACACATAAACGTGTAGAACAGACAAAGTATTAGTAAATTAAAAAAAAAACAAGAGATGAATCTTCAAGAGCGAGGTCATGTAAAATGTCTCGAACTCATTGACATTGCTAGAAAATGATATTGCATTAAGCGAGAAATCAGAACCAAAAACAATTGTTTCTGCTCACTACTATAAGAATGTCAATGTCATAGTATTTTGAAAGATAATCCTATTCATTCACTTGTATATCATTTATATTTTCTTTATTTGTCTAGACATTGCTCAATGATGAAGTACGTCCACAAAAAGTTGTTGTTGAAGCTCCATTTGTTTATAATTCACGACATAAAACAAATCAACGTACATCAAATAGTGCAAATCAATTACTTGGAAATAATACGAAAACACTTGGTAATAATGGACGTTCAACATTAAAAGGTCAATTATCATTACCAATAAATAATTTATCAGATAATACAAATATATGGGATCAAAAATCTAAGAGAAAACAACGACAACATTCAAATAGTTTTGGTAGTCGAAATAATCCTATGACAACAACAACAACAACGACACCATCACAACCAAGAAGACCTGGACGACCAAAACGAGATGTAATTATATATAATTTAAATTTTGATTTTTGATTTTTGATTTTTTTTTGATTTTAGCAAACCGATTATCTTCTATCAAATCCTCAATCAACATTATCGGATAATTCACTTGATTCATTATATGATTCATCGACAAATATTGAACAATCATCATCAATCAATCAATCATCACCAATTGTACTTCGTCGTACAACACGAAAATTGTCAGCGTCAACAAATTCAAAACGTCCTATTGATAATGATGATCAATTACAACATCCAAGAAAATATCCAAAATTACTTACACAAGTTATTAAAGATGGTATCAAATTTGAATGTCAAGATCAATCAATCATTTCACCATCAGCAGCAATTGCTGCTACACGTCCACTTAATCAAGTAAGTTGTTATTCATTACAAGAAAATATTCTTTAAGATTAATCCTCGTGTTTTTTTTTGTTTGACTTATTGGATTCATTCATCGAAATTATTGATTTGAAATAATGTAAAAAAAAATATTGGATCTAGTCAATTCGTAGAGTTTTGAATAAACTACAATTTGAACTCCTTCTTACAGATCGTGTTGATAAACGATTACAACGTCTCATTATAATATATGAACTACTTTCTTATTGCATTTCTCGAGAAGGATGGATAATAGAATAGAAAAAAAAAACATTCCTTTTGATTAACAACAACAGATACATCATGTTTCACATTTTAGTCTCATCGGAATTGCGCTAATAGGTTTGTTTTTCAATACAGACTAATTATCTTGATATTTGTCAAATTGACATATTTAAAAAACATTCTGCTGCCATTTTGAAATAATCTCTTATTAATTAGAAATCTACAACTTTTTGTTACAGCCTTCCATCTGGGCAGAATCTTAACAATTAGCAATGGATAATTCTGAATTAATGATACCATTATCAGAGCTGGACAAGTACGAATTTTCTAGAGTATGATTAGATACTCATATTTGTCCAGATTTGACCGACTTGGGATTGTTGAAATCGGTGGTCTCGAGAAAATTCTTGTAACTCTTGTTGCATAGATCGAAAGAGAAAGATTTTTCCTATCGAATCTAGTTTTGGCATACGTAGATGTTTGAGAATGTTTCTAATCGTCTTTATTAATTTATATTTATTCATTTAGCCATCTCAACCAACTATTAAAATTGAACCGGACACATTTGATCGTAATCATCTATTAAATAAAACTCCACCACCATCATTAAAACGATCAACAAATAATTCAACATCAACAAGTTCTCAATCAACATTATTACGTTCATTAATTCGTTCACCACAAACTCCATCATTAACAACCAAAAAAGATGCACCATTATATGATCTTTTACAAAATCTTGATTCAAATGATTCATCTATATTTTCAACTCTAAATTCAACTTCAACACCATCAACAACACCAATAAATAATAATAATAATAATAATAATAATAATAATAATAATAATAATACTTCAATTGATCCACTTGAACAATATCTTACTCCAGAATTATCACAATCAACATCAACAACAAAAAATTCTTCATCTAAAGATGATTATCTTGCTGCCTTATTAAGTTCTGATCCTCAACAACCAAATGAAATATCATTTATTCCAATAAATAAACAACAACAACAACAACAACAACAACAAACACCAATATTAACACGATCATCATCAACATCGAGTGATAGTAGTCGTATAGCAGCTCTTGTTAATGATTTATTTAATTCAGCAACAAATGCAACAACAGTAAATAATTCAAATGATGATTTCTTATCATTATTAGACAATAAAGAGATTTTCGAGGTAAACAAAAGAAAAAACTTTTTCTAAGATAAAATTCTTTTTTCTTTTAGTGTTTAAGTGATCCGACAACAATTGATTCAATACTTTCACAAAATTCTACAAGTGCTATGGAATCATCATATTCATCAACAACACCTAATCGTAGTGAAAAAGATGAAAAAGCGATTAGTGAAATCTATAAAACACTTGTTACTTCATTTAATCCCGGTAAAAATTTAGGTTTTTTTTTAATAAAAATATTTTTAGCATTAGATTTAGTTGTTATTCTTTTAATAAAGAAAAAATTGATGCGAATTTCAATATAATCAGAAATATCTATCTATAATATTATTTTAATTTTAATAGAGAAATTAATATTCATAAGAAGAAATAAAAAAACAAAATGATTAGATTTAAATACAAGGAAAATTTTCAAGTCAATGGAGAATCATTCGAATAGATTTTTTAAATATATTGATTATTTGTATTTATATAATCTTCTCTTGTTTAGGTTCGTCTTCACTCGATTTACCTGTTGATAATAGTCCTTTCAGTAATTGATTTATTTTTTAATTCAAATTTAAATAATTTTCTTATTTCTTTTATTAAGGCTCTATCACCGGTGACTTTTTATTAGCTGAAAATTCTACTATGTCAATACCACCAAATCGAACAGTTAATACTGATCCATCTATGACAATGTATCGACAACAACCAACAACATATTCATATCAAAGTCCTCAACAACAACAATCATCAACGACAAATGTAAAATATTTTTTTTCAATTGAAAATTTATTTATTTATTTTGAAAATTTTAGCCTTCACAATTTTCTGATTGTCTTTCAATGGATATGATGGATACTAATTCTTTTCCACCAAATAAATCTTTATCACCAATTAATAATTCTTATTCATTACCACCATCATCAACAACAAATACAACAACACATATGGAAACAAATCCTATGATAATGTATTCTCAAAAAACACCAACACATATTCAACATCATCAAGCACAAAATCAAATGTCTAATCTATTTTATCGTCAAACATCTCAATCTACACAACAACCTATGTATAATAATTTTATTCAACCACCACCACCACCACCAAATCAAGTTGCTCCTGGTTATTATTCAATGCAACAACAACTATCACCACAACAGCGAATACCATCATCTAATCATTCATCACCATTAAATAAACGACAAACATTAATTCATCACCAACGAACACCACAACAAAATAATCCACAACTTCAATTACACATGTCAATGAATGTGACTTTGCCACATGTAAAATAAACGAACAAAAAAAAAAAAATTTTTGTTTTATTACAATATAATTCTCATTTTCTTTTTTATCTTTTAGATGACACCAAATCAACAACAACCACAGCAAGCACAGCAACAGCAACATCGACGTATTTTTTTTTTGAAAATCTTTTAGGCAAAAAAAAAATTTAATATATTGTTTTTTGTTTTTTATAGCTATGATGAATACATACAATGATTTAATGATGCCCAATGGTAATGGTCCAACATTACAACAAGATTTTCATCGACTTTCACCATCATTATTAAATAATAATACACTTGATCTTCCATATAATCATGATATTTTTATGTCACCATCACCATCACGATCACCACATCCACAACAATTAACACAAAATCGTCATATGACTGTAATGCAAACCCAGCAACAATCATCAGTTTCTCCTTCTCCGCCTCCTCCTCCTCCACAAGCCACTAACCATCAGGTAAAATACTAAAATAAAAATTATTATTATTCTTAAAGAAAATTTTCTAATTTTTCAATACTCGTAAAATTCGAAATCAGTCTAAAGCTATCATGATGATGATGAGACAATTCAATTAGAACCTATTGAGTCTGGGTTCGAAAGTTTTGGACTCGACGGGCTCTGCAATTTATCCGATCTTTTCATGATATCTAAGGAGTACTTTTGTTTGTTTTTTTTTGTGTTCTTCTATTCAAGAAATGTTTCGGTGTATGTAAACTTAACATATTTTTGCGAACTATATCTTTATGATTCTATTCAAAAAAAAAAATACACCATGTTATAAGAACATTCGAATAGACTAGACAAACAGAAATATTTTACTTTCTTTTCTTTTGAAATGAAAATGTTGAAATATGAAAAATTCTCTGATCGATCGAACTAACATTTATTTTTGTAAGTACTTCAATTGCATGGAAGTCCATCGTTTTTTTTAATTCTTTCATGAATATTAAAAAAAATGACGTTTTGATTTTAGTGGACTGATGAAAATTTATTGGCATTAGGAAGAATTGAAAAGGATGCTTAAGTTATTTGTTATGATTTGATATACTGGAATTTCAATTATGATTAATATACATGGAAAAAACAATTTCTAAGAATGGAACATTTTCAATCATGCTGATTCTAAATATGACCATGTGAATTCTCTTACGCCTTTATATGTTGGTGGTTCTAGACTAACAAATATTTTTCTAAAACTGTTTTTGATTTTCTCAGATTAGAGATCATATTGAGTTGTCTTTCAGTCAATAAATTTTTTTTTTGTTTTCTAAAAAAATGTTTTTTAAGTGAAATAATATTATCTTGAAGATTTTCGCATTGAAATGTAAATATATATCTATTGTATGAATTAAAATGGCTGTATTATCTACAAAAAGAGTTTCTATTGCCTACGCTATTTCATAAGCTATAGATAGATAAAAAGAATCTTCGACATATAAAAATCTAAAAGGATTTCTCATGGTCATATCCGAAATTAACAGTATCGATAACGTATAACAAAAGAAAAACGAGTGATCATTTGAAATCATTCCCTTGTAATTTCACATACACTCATTAGGGAGTACTCCTAACTGAAACTCTTTGCTTTTTTCTCTAAATAGGACTCTTTGAGACTAGACATAATTTCATATAGAAGATCTAATGGAACGAATCCTTTTATGGTTTGTTTTTCTATTTACATCGAATCCTGTTGATGAAACAAATATGAACGCAAAGAGAGAAGTTTCAGTTCGAAATGTAACTTCGTCAGTTTGATTGAAAGTTGAAATCAATCAATCAATCGATCAAACTCATGAATAACATTAAACTTAATTTCATGGCTTCAGAAACCTTGAAAATAAAAAAATCAAATATTATCAATCAACTAAATATGTTCTGACAATTTTATCTTAAATTATGATATACATCACTAAGTTCTTTCTCTTTTGGTATTATCTATGTCTAATCTCGATCTATTTAAATGCTATGAAATATTAAAAATTCGATTTCGAAAAATCTTCCTAAACTCGAAATACATCAAGTTGACTTTCTTTCTCTATTACACATCTTGATTAAAAATCAAGGTCAATACTTTAGGCTATTTGCTTTCTCTCAATATCAATCATTTTAATTATCCCAATTAACTAAGAAAAAAAAGAAGTTCGAGTCTTACCTTTAATTGCATGATTATATTATGAATATTGTCATTCAATCTAAAAGAAAAAGAATAAATGTATGTTTTTTTAGTTGCATTTTTTTTCTTGAAAAACGTCCTTGATCATAACAAAAGAGACTAATGTCATGTATTTCATTAATACAAGAGAGAAAAAAAAAGAACCTACTGTCTGATGTAACATTATAGTAATAACAATTTTCAAGGAATATATTTATTGATCTAAGCAATTGAAAGATATAAGTAAATTGAAATGCTACGAATCGAATCTAGTTCGATGTTTGAGTATAGAGCGGAAGAAAAACAGAAACATAAAAATCACTTAAATTGAAGAGAATATAATGTTTTTTGTTTGTCAATCTTGAAAAGAGAAAAAAAATATTTTAAAAGTACCTATTGTAATTCAAAGGCAAAAAAGCAATAAGAAATAAAAATATGTCTCGTTGATAATGTTGTTAATATTTAGTTTTGATCTTAACAAAATGGATTCTACTCCTACTGATTTCTTTGTTTCGAAAAAAAAGAAATTTGCTTTTTGTTGATGTCTGTGAAATTTTTTTTTTTCTATTACCTGACATGTCAATATAGACTAATGACAAAATCATTGTACATTTACGTCGTTTATAAAAATAAATATATTTACAGATGATTAATGAGTTAGTGAACGTGCTGATTCCCTTTTTTTTTTATTTCTATAGAATATAGATTGCTGCAAATAGATTCCAAGGACTTTTCTCTGCATGATCAAAGTTCGCTTTCGTTTTTATCTGTTATAGTTGAGTACATGTAACTTGTCATAAGATAAGTAACAAAGAAACAAAAAAAAAAAAGAACTATCAATACATACCTAATAAATAACCAAGGAGGAATGCATATATATATATATATATATACGTATATGCATATGTCGTATCAGTTTTTTTTCTAAAATCATGACCTTACTTGTATTTCTGTAAAACTCAAGGCAAAGAGAAAATAAACGACGAAGGTCACTGCCATTGATCACAAGGTTATTTCATCATAATAGTTATAGAAAAGCTAGCTCTTACTGACATGTACCGATCGAAGTGATCTAATTCAATATAATATGCATATATGAAAAAAAAAAAGAACAGAAAGAGAGCGAAAGAAAGGAAGGAAGAGATTCTTATTTCTTTTTTTTTTGCCTTTCTCTTATGTCTCTGTTCAAGGTTTTATAGAAAGAAATGTTCTCGTCATCTTGATAATCTCAAGGTCTTGTTGCTTATTCGCACGAACTATATTCTTCTACTAAATGTTCTTGCCTTTTCTTTCGTCTCTCAAAAAGATGGAATCTTATGTAAATTTGATTGATGAAAAAAAAATAGATGAAAGAATTGTTATATGATTCCTGGTCTGTAACGGCGGAAGTAATGATTACATAATTATGAATGTTGATCGTATGTTCAATATTAATTCATCATAGTACATACATACACATATACATTCTCAAGAGAGAACGAGAAAATGAATGAATGAATGAAGAAGAGAAGAGGTCAAGGTGGTCGTTTGAACGAGAGCAAGAATTGAGGTTAATCAATTGCTCACATAATGTTTGCTTGCTCCTATATTGACATCGTGATAGATATCAAATAAGAAGAATCTAGATATAGGTTAGTTAATATCCTTGAATTTCTATAGGTCACTCATAAATTTGCTGAAAGATATTTGTGATCGATTCAATCTGAAAGAATAAAAGTTCATTTTCTTCTTCTTCTTCTTCTTTTTTTCCTTTGGTCTAATGATTGTATATATGACCAAGATTGAGTAACATTTATACCTAGTGATTGACAAAGAATGTGAATTGAGTGCAGACACAATTCTTATTCACTAGCGGATGTCTCTAAATTGCTGTCTTCTCCTGCTCATTTATGTTTCTTAGTTCAAGGCAGCATTTTTTTTTCTTTGATTCACATTGGACAAGAAGACCTTGACACTACAGAAATATGAGCAGAAGTTAGCAGAAACCAGACAGAGAGAAAGAGAGAGAGAGAGAGAGAAAAATGATGATAGAATGTTTCCATTGATTTATTCTTTTTTTTTAGCCATATTCTAATATGAGTGTGGCTCTATCGGCGACCATACAACAAAATTCGCATAGTATGTTAAATTTGTTCATTGATATATGTATATATATATATATATATATACATGTTTTATCGATAATCATAATCTAGATTCAAACAATCTCATGAATCCATCAATACCAAATTTAACACCTGCTGAATGTCGTCAATCAGAAGAATTAAATAATCAAATGATGAATTGTTTAAGGTAAATAAAATTTATTTAAATATGAGAAATAGACATTGATTTTGTTTTTTTTTATATTTGATAGTTTTCAAGCAGGTCGATCTACAAGTGAATTTGTACGTAAACAATTACAAAATACAATTCATGGACGACAAAAACCAGCCGGTGGAAAAGATATGTCAGGAGCAACAGCACAGAAAAGTATGTTTAATAAGAGAAAACTTTTAAATTAATTAATTAATTAATATCTTTTTTTTTTATTAAGTGATAAATTCGTCAAATCTTGATTCTAGTAAGTTTACAAAAGAAAAATATTCAATAAAATAATAATTCATTTATTTAGATCAAAAAGGGGCCTATTTTCGAAATAAATTATCATCTCAATTATCCACTCCATCATTACAAACAACTATAAGATCACAACAGCAACAACAACAATAAAACAAAAGAAATCAACAAGGTGATCTTTAAAACAAAGACGACATAATGCTTTTTTTGTTTTTTTGTTTGTTTATTGTTTATTGTTTTTCTTTTCATTTACGTTTGTTTGTTGGTAGTAGTAGTATAATTTACATACTATGTATGGGGCATGGATGAGATTGAAAAAAAAAGAAAGATTTATTCGTTTTTGTTTGTTTTTGTTTTTGTTTCTCTTTCCTTTGAAATTTTTTTTTCTTTGCTCATATCTTTTTTTTTGTTTTGTTTAATACACTTTCTTTTTTAGTTATCGTCCGTATTTTTTTGTTCGGTTCTTTTTCGACACATTTTGTGTGTACTGTATGTATGTTTGAAAAGGTGATGCTGGCAGTTCGACATATGTAAAAAAAACGATAGATGTATGCATGTGCGTTTATGTATGATTGTATGTATGTACGCAGACAAACAAACCTATTCTTTTCTGCTAATTTTTAAATACAATTTTTAGTGGATACGGCCGCAAGTCGTTTCATTTTCTGTCTAAAATTAGAATTATTGAAATACTCAAGGTTTGCATATATTATGCAATTGTTCCAGTTAGTAACACAATTTACCCAATGTGTGTATGGAATATAATCTAGCATTGAGCAAGTCAAGCTATGAGGGGTGTGGGTATGTAATAGAGCGACGAATTCGAGCTCGGGACCAACCCGACAGGCTCTAATGTGTGGCTATGAGTCTGTATTTGTGTGAAGTGTAGGGCAACGCTCCCCACCCACACCCATCTGGTGCATCGAAACAGAAATACAAACAGTCAACTCTTTTTTTATGTATAAAGAATATGTGGATTCTTGAAGAAATAACTATCAAATCTTCAATAAGAACTTCAATTGCCAATTACTGATTTAAAATTTAATCAATTATTTCAGAATAAAGGATTTGATTGCTTTATTTTATTTAATTGAAAATTCATATTATAACTGATAAAAAATAAACTTCGAAAGTATTGAATAATTACTTAATATCATCAGTTTCATGTATCTCGTCTAGTCCTTAGCTTATATTTCTCAATTCTTTTGAACAATTTTATTTAATTCAATTAAATAGATGCTTGTATAGTAAATATGTGATAAGCTTTATTTATTAATTACGATATAAATGGAAATTTTTCAATGATGTGATGTCAACCTTTATTCTCTACTATAAGATTATTATTGACATTTTGAGTCCCGGCTTTTTTTTGCGAAACTCAAATTTTCTTTTATGAAATTTTTAAATATGATCTTTATTTCTTTACGAAGAAATTACATTTTTATGTCAAAAAATCATTAGTAGTTCATCTTTGTATGGTAGTCTTTGAAGCAATCAACAATACATAGAGGTGCATCGCATTCAGAACAAATATATTGTGTATCATGTCGAATATTATGCGATGTGCAAACGACGCATTTTCTTTGAGACTGGTTTGATTGCGATGTTTGTGGAATAAATGAAGGGAAATGTCGAGCAGTTAGATGAAGACGAGAATCTCTTGTTTATGGTCTTCCAATAGTAGTTGGTCTTTGTGATCCATACTTTGTTAAAACTTCTCTAGTTATTTCAAGCCGAAACTCAAATAGATGAGAGGGAATATTATTCTGCATTTTGTAAATTAAAGAATGCATTATATACTGCCATATCCAAAAGATGAAAAAAAAAGTTTCTTGTACCATTTTACCGATTTTCTTATACATTCTGAAAATGATATCTGCACGTCAACATGATCGACTGCGCCCATGTTTTTAGTATAGTCGAGAATGCAGACAGGTTTTCGAATCTTTTCTCCAGTTTGCTGATCTATTTTGTTTGAATTCTCGTATGCCCTTGAATGGATCGTTGAAAGCATAAGAACTTCTCGTTTGTCCTACCATTTGAGTACAAGTAAAATATCTGTATGAAAGTATTGACTCTCGCCTCTTTTCAATTTAGTTGTAAGAGGCGATAATCCTTATCTATTTTTACGAACAGTGCCACATGCACCAGTTTTATTTCGATCCAAGAGCTCAAAAAGTGCTGAGCTCGTATACGAATTGTCAACGTGTAAATGGCTTCCTTTATTCAAATATCGCTGCATTACTTCCATTACAATTGATCTACTCAATCCAAGTCCAGATGTAATTTGATACTCTGTGTTTGATCCTATGTAAATGATGAAGTCAAGGATGAATTTAGTTTCACGATCAACAAACTGCAACAATTTGATTCCAAATCGGTGACGTTTGGAAGAAATATACTGCTTGAATCCAAGTCTCCCTTTTCATAACACCAGACTTTCATCGATACACAGATTCTGTATTGGATTCACACAGTTTGTAAACTTTCGCTTGAAATCATCTATGATTAGCTTGATGTTCTCAAATCGGTCATTGCCGCAAATATCCTTATTATTTGCAAAGTACATATAGTGCAGAATGTCTTGATACTAGTTTCGTGTGAAATACTGACTGAAGATGGGTGTAGACAGCAATAGATCAGTACTCCAATAGTCTTGAATCCTATTTTTGTCAATGAGTTCAGTTAGCATTATAGTTGCAAGAAATGTGTATATTTCTATGAAAGTTACATTTTGCCAGTTAGACATATGCCGACGTTTGCCCACTGGATTCTGTAAATAATAACGGTTGGTTTCGTCAACCATGCACCGCATTATAGGTTTCATCAAAAAATAGTTGAAAATAATCAAGTGATGTTCTTTCGACAAGTGGAATCGTATTTTGTAAACCGGGTTCATCAACGAACTGTGGCACAGTTGAAGTGAATGTTCCACAATATCACTGACGTTCCTCTGGAAGATCTTCATTACCAGAATCAATAGATATGCAATCAAAAGCCGTTAGAAGTTCATCCTCTGACGATAAGTCGGATTGAGAGTTATTCATAATTTCCCAATTTCTTGCTCAGTCAAACGTCTTTTTCGTGAAATTGCCATTGTGAAAATGTGTAAGATGGATCGTTGAAGTAAACGATTATCACCCAAAGGAGCATATATTTGGTTCATTCTTGCTCTTATCTTTTACTATTCGAACAATGAATATAATTACGCTATGATTTAGAAACAGAAAGAACTTACTAGATTGTCTAGGTCAGATAGGACTGCCTAGAACATTACAGAAAGATAGAAACTAACCAGAGAGTACAAGAGAGAACAGTAGATGATCAATACAAACAAAAGAATGAAAGATAAGTGATTGTACTGAAATGCACTAGAATGAGAGATAGTGTGTATCATCATACAGAACGAGAGTGTGGGAATAGGTGCGCATGTGGTGGTGTGCATGTGGGATGTGGGTGGAAGAAGAGCTATACCCACACTCACAGTGACAGTCACAGCCACACCCGCTCACGCTCACGCCCACCCCATCCACATCCACATCTGCACACGCACATGCACACCCACATCCACCTACATATTTGTTTCAATTGTGGTGGTCAAATGTGACTACACAGCAATCAGAGAGAATTTGATCTTCGACTAGAAAGATGATGTTCGGCAATGAAGTAAATTATTGAAAGTTGATGTGAAAATTCAATTCATTCGACTTTATAAAATCTTTTCTTGGTCCCATCGTTTCATGAGCGCCATCTTTCATGCCTTCTTTTCTCCACTATATTTCATATTTTTATTCTTTTTGACCATAATGTTTCTTTTTCGAATTACGTTTTTCTGTGCTTTTATGTGAATAGTTTTGTCAATTCAAATTCCTGTTAATTATTTCTTCTTATCGCATTCTTCGTTGCACATTTTTATCGGTGTTTGCTCTCGTGACTTTTTCTTTCTGTTATGGTTAAAATCGAATATGTGCATCTTTTGCTTCGTATACACAGTTGGATGGCATAAAGAGCTTATTTCTTTTCTTTCTCAAGAGTGTGGTTATTACTTTTTTTTCGACAACTCTTTTTTGGTTTGTATAGTGCGACAAAAATGAGAAGCAAAACAATCGGGAACAGACATAGAGACCAGGTTGTAATGAATTTTTTTCGGTTTTTCTGTCTTACTCCAGCCGTATGCTTACATAAAAATTAATTATGATTAAGATTTTTCTGTGCTTCTTGTGATTATGCAATCAGTAAATGGAGTTTTATACAAAGTGGACCAAAAGTAATATAACACATAATTTTTTCGGCTTTTTTTTATATATAGCCAGTTAAATATCATATTTATACCACATATACTCGGTGGTATAATTCAAAGATACAGCATATGATCAGTATCTAGGTGTAGCAAATTGTTCAAAAGCGTATAAACACAGATTGACTAAAAGTAACGAAACATGTTTGACAGTTATATTTTTGCTGTCATAACATGTATTATTTTGTCGCCTCTACTAGTATTTATATATATATATATGCTAGTGATGGTATCTGACCGGCAACAACAGAAACAGTTAAGTCTTATATGCTGATTCGTTTGTTTTTGCTCTCTTTGTAGTTTTTGCTGTGCATAATAAAAGTTCTGTTAGAACCCAGAGGTGTTTTCTTACTTTTGACCACCCTGTATTTGTACGCTTTTGAACAAATTGCTAAACCTAGATAGTGTACCAAGAGTTTCATATTGAATTTTCGATGCCTCAATATTTTAATCATAATCGATGGATGACCGTTGGTTCTACTTTTAGTACACACTCGAACCCAAGACTGGCATCTTCAAGCAAGAAGAAGACACAAATGTGCCGAATTTTATGAACAACATACGCCGATCTTCTTTAAATTTTAACCTAGGGATTTTGTGAGAGAAAACAAAATCGCATGAAGTTAAATCTGGTTTCTTATCGTACATGACTTATAATAAGACTAAACCTTTTTAGAAATATTCTCAGAATAATCATCTTTTTCTGCTATTTTAGATATAGTAGCACGGAAGATTCTTCTCCTTGAGTGCCCATCAGATAACATTTGGAGCATGAACGGTAAGTTCTGTAGAATGTATGCTGTCATCGAAGTTCCATGCTGAAGAGAGAACAATTTGTTCCGAGATACATCCTTTA